GTGAGTTCCAGGTGAAAGAATGGGAAGTGATGGGTGAGTCCCAGACCAGAGATGGGTGAGTTCCAGATGATAGAACAACAGGTGATGGGTGAGTTCCAAACGACAGAATATCTTATGTACTTGCCTGTAGATAGTTCTGGTCAGTCAAGCTGTTGCTGCCAGTGCTTCAATTTTGTCACCACTACCATCTGATCATGAGTTTTTTTTTTTTTTTAATGTCAAATTTCCTGCTGAGAGTAAGTGATTTATTAATAAACAGCACGAAGTAAATGTGTATCAAGAAGGCATTGGTAATGTTAAGTATAAATTAAAAATATAAATTATGCTGTAAATATTCCTAAGCATCGAACTATGTTCAGAATTACTCAGCCGTATATAACTGTATAATAGGAAGAATTTAGAGGTCATTAAAAAGCATATAATAAGTCCATAGGTAAGTACCTACCGAGTCCAGAGGGTATCTAAAAAAATCTATAGGTCATTTATATACATAGTGTAGGGTCAAATATAGCTATTACCTGGAGTTTACCTGGAGAGAGTTCCGGGGGTCAACGCCCCCGCGGCCAGGTCTGTGACCAGGCCTCCTGGTGGATCAGAGCCTGATCAACCAGGCTGTTACTGCTGGCTGCACGCAAACCAACGTACGAGCCACAGCCCGGCTGGTCAGGAACCGACTTTAGGTGCTTGTCCAGTGCCAGCTTGAAGACTGCCAGGGGTCTGTTGGTAATCCCCCTTATGTGTGCTGGGGCAGTTGAACAGTCTCGGGCCCCTGACACTTATTGTATGGTCTCTTAACGTGCTAGTGACACCCCTGCTTTTCATTGGGGGGATGTTGCATCGTCTGCCAAGTCTTTTGCCTTCGTAGTGAGTGATTTTCGTGTGCAAGTTCGGTACTGTCCCTCTAGGATTTTCCAGGTGTATATAATCATGTATCTCTCCCGCCTGCGTTCCAGGGAATACAGGTTTAGGAACCTCAAGCTCTCCCAGTAATTGTGGTGTTTTATCTCCGTTATGCGCGCCGTGAAGGTTCTCTGTACATTTTCTAGGTCAGCAATTTCACCTGCCTTGAAAGGTGCTGTTAGTGTGCAGCAATATTCCAGCCTAGATAGAACAAGTGACCTGAAGAGTGTCATCATGGGCTTGGCATCCCTAGTTTTGAAGGTTCTCATTATCCATCCTGTCATTTTCCTAGCAGATGTGATTGATACAATGTCATGGTCCTTGAAGGTGAGATCCTCCGACATGATCACTCCCAGGTTTTTGACGTTGGTGTTTCGCTCTATTTTGTGGCCAGAATTTGTTTTGTACTCTGATGAAGATTTAATTTCTTCGTGTTTACCATATCTGAGTAATTGAAATTTCTCATCGTTGAACTTCATATTGTTTTCTGCAGCCCACTGAAAGATTTGGTTGATGTCCGCCTGGAGCCTTGCAGTGTCTGCAATGGAAGACACTGTCATGCAGATTCGGGTGTCATCTGCAAAGGAAGACACGGTGCTGTGGCTGACATCCTTGTCTATGTCGGATATGAGGATGAGGAACAAGATGGGAGCGAGTACTGTGCCTTGTGGAACAGAGCTTTTCACCGTAGCTGCCTCGGACTTTACTCTGTTGACGACTACTCTCTGTGTTGTTAGTGAGGAAATTATAGATCCATCGACCAACTTTTCCTGTTATTCCTTTAGCACGCATTTTGTGCGCTATTACGCCATGGTCACACTTGTCGAAGGCTTTTGCAAAGTCTGTATATATTACATCTGCATTCTTTTTGTCTTCTAGTGCATCTAGGACCTTGTCGTAGTGATCCAATAGTTGAGACAGACAGGAGCGACCTGTTCTAAACCCATGTTGCCCTGGGTTGTGTAACTGATGGGTTTCTAGATGGGTGGTGATCTTGCTCCTTAGGACCCTTTCAAAGATTTTTATGATATGGGATGTTAGTGCTATCGGTCTGTAGTTCTTTGCTGTTGCTTTACTGCCCCCTTTGTGGAGTGGGGCTATGTCTGTTGTTTTTAGTAACTGTGGGACGACCCCCGTGTCCATGCTCCCTCTCCATAGGATGGAAAAGGCTCGTGATAGGGGCTTCTTGCAGTTCTTGATGAACACGGAGTTCCATGAGTCTGGCCCTGGGGCAGAGTGCATGGGCATGTCATTTTCGCCTGTTCGAAGTCATTTGGCGTCAGGATAACATCGGATAGGCTTGTGTTAACCAAATTCTGTGGCTCTCTCATAAAAAAATCATTTTGATCTTCGACTCTCAGTCTGGTTAGCGGCTTGCTAAAAACTGAGTCATATTGGGACTTGAGTAGCTCACTCATTTCCTTGCTGTCATCTGTGTAGGACCCATCTTCTTTAAGTAGAGGCCCAATACTGGACGTTGTTCTCGACTTTGATTTGGCATAGGAGAAGAAATACTTTGGGTTTCTTTCGATTTCATTTATGGCTTTTAGTTCTTCCCGCGATTCCTGACTCCTATAAGATTCCTTTAGCTTAAGTTCGATGCTTGCTATTTCTCTGACCAGTGTCTCCCTACGCATTTCAGATATATTGACCTCTTTCAGCCGCTCTGTTATTCTTTTCCGTAGCCTGTAAAGGGAGCGCCTGTCTCTTTCTATTTTACATCTACTCCTCCTTTTTCTTAGAGGAATAAGCCTTGTGCATACATCGGATGGGGAAGCATATAACTATGTAAGTAATAGGTAAATCTATTAAAGTTAGAAACTACTTTGACTACGAGTCTGATATTAGCTATTTAGGAACAGGAAACTTGAAATTAATGGCGGTGCAATTTAATTTCAAAGTTGCTTGATATAGGTCAAACGAGGTTAAATTGAGGCGGAAAGGCAGTAAACTAATGCCAAGCGCTGCAACTTGAGCTCAGCACCAAAGTTCACTAACTTATTATGAGAGGTCAGCGGAGAGGTAAACTTGGAGAAGCTCCTCATTTACCTGAAATCGGAAATCTGTTGATAAAATTGAAAATTTTAAAGGATTTAAATAAAAAAGCTTGAAACAAAACTCGAAAATTAGTCTTAAAGAATAATTTTGAACCTGTGTTCATAAATTATACATTTCCGAGAATACACATTTTATATTATAAATATCTGGAAGAGATCACAGGACAAGTACACCGTCAGGGATGTTTATCTCTGATTATAACTCCTTAAAATTTACTTTAAGCCTTATGCTGGGATTTTTTTTAATTTAATCATTATGTATATTTAATCCCTATGTATATTTGACCTGAGGTGGAAAGTTTAGCGTTCTTCCTTAATGACTCTAGTGAAGTCGATAGACTTTAAACCCTCCATTAACAAACCGCTAACTATTCTGGAAATCCATTGACATGATCTGCCTTCAGCAGATCATGCTTGCATGTGTACTCACCTAATTGTAGTTGCAGGGGTCGATTCATATCTCCTGGCCCCGCCTCTTCATTGGTTCACTGTGTGTGTGTGTGTGTGGGTGTGTGTGTGTGTGCGCGTGTGTGTGTGCGTGTGTGTGTGTGTGTGTGTGTGTGTGTGTGTGTGTGTGTGGTGTGTGTGTGTGTGTGTGTGTGTGTGTGTGTGTGTGTGTGTGTGTGTGTGTGTGTGTCAAGTGTTGTATGTCACCTCTGCTATAATTATCGCTCGCAAGCTTGTCTATTTCCAGTGTTACTTTCATTAGTACACCTGACGTGGTGTCGACAGGTAGTTAATGAGTTTTTTTACTGTTGCAGCAGACTGAGAGGAGGTTGTTATCACCAGCTCCTTGCTTATTATTCTCCCTCACACCGTGCGTCTCTCTCCCTCACACCGTGCGTCTCTCTCCCTCACACCGTGCGTCTCTCTCCCTCACACCGTGCGTCTCTCTCCATCTCACCGTGCGTCTCTCTCCCTCATGCAGTGTGTCTCTCTCCCTCACACAGTTCGTCTCTCTCCCTCACGCAGTGTGTCTCTCTCCCTCACACAGTGCGTCTCTCTCCCTCATGCAGTGTGTCTCTCTCCCTCACACAGTGTGTCTCTCTCCCTCACACAGTGTGTCTCTCTCCCTCACACAGTGCGTCTCTCTCCATCACACCGTGCATCGCTCTCGCTCCCTTCAGGGAGCCTTGTCTATCCCAGGGTTTATGAGAAAACCCTTCCTATCCCATTGTTTATTACACAGTACCTTCAGTATCCCTTTGTTTATGACATAGAACCCTCCGTATCCCTTTGTTTATGACATAGAACCCTCCGTATAACTTTGTTTATGATATAGAACCCTCCGTATCCCTTTTTTTATGACACAGAACCATCCATATCCCATTGTTTATGACATAGAACCCTCTGTATTCCTTTGTTTATGACATAGAACCCTCCGTATAACTTTGTTTATGACATAGAACCCTCTGTATCCCTTTGTTTATGACACAGAACCATCCATATCCCATTGTTTATGACATAGAACCCTCCGTATCCCATTGTTTATGACAGACCCCTACTTATCCCATTGTTTTATGACAAACAACCTTGCCTATCCCATACTTTAAGTCAGAGATCCCTGCCTATCCCAAGGTTTATTACAGAGAGCCCTGCCTATCCCATTGTTCATGATAGAGAACCCTGCCTATACCATTGTTTATGAGAGAGAACCCTGCCTATCCCATTGTTTTGTTTATGAGAGAGAACCCTGTTTATCCCATTTTTTATGACAGAGAACTCTGTCTATCCCATTGTTTATGATAGAGAACCCTGCCTATCCCATTGTTTATGAGAGAGAACCCTACCTATCCCATTGTTTATGATAGAGAACCCTGCCTATCCCATTGTTTATGAGAGAGAACCCTACCTATCCCATTGTTTATGAGAGAGAACGCTGCCTATCCCATTGTTTTGTTTATGAGAGAGAACCCTGCCTATCCCATTGTTTATGAGAGAGAACCCTGCCTATCCCATTGTTTTTGACAGAGAACCCAGCCTATCCCATTATTTATGATAGAGAACCCTGCCTATCCCATTGCTTTGTTTATGAGAGAGAAC